CAGGAAACCAATAGCAATGAAAAGGAAACTGGGACTCAAATCAATGGAGTGGACCAGAAGAAAGCAAATAATGGCCAAACAGAAAAGAGTCAAGAAGCAAGAATTCAAAGAAATGAGGAGAGTTTTAGGAACCTCCAGGACATCTTTAAATGCTCCAACATCCGAATTATAGGGGTACCAGAAGGGGGAAAGGAACAGCCACCAGTGGAAAACTTATTTGAACAAATAATAAAGGAGAATTTCCCCAATCTGGCAAAGGAAATAGACTTCCAGGAAATCCAGGAAGCTCAGAGAGTCCCAAAGAAGTTGGACCCAAGACGAAACACACCAAGGCACATCATAATTACATTAGCCAAGATTAAAATGATGGAGAGAATCCTAGAAGCAGCAAGAGCTAAGGGGACAGTCACCTACAAAGGAGTTCCCATCAGACTGTCAGCTGATTTCTCAAAAGAGACCTTACATGCAAGAAGGGGCTGGAAAGAGGTATTCCAAGTCATGAAATCCAAAGACCTACAACCAAGATTGCTCTATCCAGCAAAACTTTCATTTAGAATGGAAGGACAGATAAGGTGCTTCTCAGATAAGATCAAATTCAAGGAGTTCATCATCACCAAGCCCTTATTATATGAAATGTTAAAGGGACTTATCAAAGAAAAAGAAGTTAAAAAAAACATGAGCAGTGAAAGGACAACAAACTCACAGTTTTTAACAACCACACCTAAAACAAAAGCAAACTAAAAGGACAGCTAGATCAGGAGTGGAAACATAGAAATGAAGATCTCAAGGAGGGTTAGCAACAGGGGAGTGGGAGAAGGAGAAGGGGGGAGAAGGTACAGAAAATAAGTAGCATAGACAGTAGATAGAAAAGAGATGGGGGGGCAAGAATAGTATGGGAAATATAGAATCTAAAGAACTTGAGAGACGTGGTCATAAACTAAAGGGGGGTAATGTTGGGGACAGGGGGTAGGGTAGAGGGGAATAAAGGGGGAGAATAGAACAACTGCAACAGCATAATCAATAAAAAATAAATTAAAAAAAAAAAAACGGAAAATGTTCTTTCCCTGGTCTATGACCTTGAGAATGACAATATGGAGGAAGGAGTGTGGTCCTTATAATAGAAGTTAGAATTTAAAATCATTAAATATTCTCTTCTCTTGCCCTGTCATCCTTTTCTTATCTGTGTTTTCCTAAAAAAGAAAATCTGTCGTAATATTATTTTCTGTCATTCTAAGCTTTTGTCTGATCCACCAAAGGAAGAAAGAAAGGTGGGTTACCCACTTGTACAAAATTTTTTATAGCTTTATTGGGTATGCTTTATGTATGATAAACTACACATAGTTAAAGTGTATAATTTTATGTTTTTTGACATTGTTATCACACTCAAGATAATGAGCGTATTACTCCTAAAAGTTTTGTCATGCCTTATTGTAAACCATTCCTCCCTCTCTCCATCCATTCCCAGGAAACCATTCATCTCTTTTCTGTCAATATATATTGTAGGGTGACTTTCCTCGAAAGTCCCCCTGTGTACCACAGATGAGAGTAAACATGACAGAGACATGATGCTTGGGGAGGAGAGGTGGCCAGTTTTCCAGAGGAAAAAGGCCTTGAGCAGTGGCCAGTTTCTCAGGGGGAAAGGGTCTTGAGCCCCTTCCTCCAAAGGCTTTTATTGGGTTGTAATGCATAGGAATACAGGGCAGGAAGGATCAAACAGTAGATAACATTTCAAAGAAATCTGAGGGGTTAGTGTGAATCAGTGTCTGTCAGGAAAGGGGGTTGCAGAGGAGACATACTCATTTCCTCTTGGACCCTTATCATATGAATGAAAGCACTCTTAGCAGAGCAGATTTCACAGGTTTATCAGGAAGTGTTTGTGATGCCAGATTTTTCCCCAGGACATGCTCTAGCAAGGCAAGGAGCTGTACCTCTCCCCAACAAGTATTCAGGTTTAAGGGGATTAGAGCCAGGAAGCACTTCTCCTAAGGGACTTGGGGACTTGGGCTTTGTCAAAGTCAGGGGGATGGGGGTGTGGGGGGCAAGAGTCCATTGTTTTGTTGCAACCCCCCACCCCCAGTTCTTCCATGATGGCCTCCCACGTGATCAAGTCTGGCTTAGGTTGCCCTCCCACTATGAGGGGTCTTACCTGTCACTGACTTCTGACCAAGCTTTGGGGGCAGGGAGAAGAAACTGAGGCAGTGTTTGCTACCAGAGACAAGCTTTGTCTCCTGCAGCTTGCATTCCAAAGGTCATTGCTTGCCCTTAGCCACAGGGGGTTGAGTTACAATTCCTGAAACCAGGCAGAGCGGTCCACAACAATATATTAGTTTGTTCTTCCTATAATTTTATATAAATGGAAGCAAACAGTAGGTACTCCTTTTTGTTGTTGTTTGGCTTCTTCACTAACATTATTATTTTGAAATTCATCATGTTTTGTGGCTCAGTAGTTGATTTCATTTTATTGATTAGTAGTGTTCTATGGCACCACAATTGGGGTATCTATTCACTTGTTGATGGACTTTTGGCTGGTTTCCAGTTTTGGGTTATTTCAGACACGACTATGAAGGACATTTGTAGGCAACAAAACTCAGGAGTGGAATGTTTCAATTGTATGGTTAAGTGTATACTTAGCTTTTAAAGCAACTGCCAAGTTTTTTTTTTTTTTTTTAATCTTTAGAAGGGAAGGGAAGGAGAGAGGAGGAGAAACATCAGTGTATGGTTGCTTCTGGTGTGTCCCCTGCTGGGAACTGGCCCCTGCTAGGAACTGGCCTGCAACCCAGGCATGTGCCCTGACTGGGAATTGAACCGTGATCTTTTGGTTTGCAGGCCTGCGATCAATCCTGAGCTACACCAGCTAGGGCTACAACTCCCAAGTTGTTTTACAAAGTGGTTGTACTATTTTATATTTCCACCAGCAGGGTGTGAGAATTCTACACCTTGCTAACACTTGATATAGTCAATCTTTTATTTTTTAAAGATTTTATTTAATTTTAGAGAGAGGGGAAAGGAGGGGGGAAGAGACAGAGAGAAACATTTGACATATGAGAGGTACATCAACTAGCTGTGTCTCCTACACCCCAGACCAGTGGCCTGGCCCACAACCCAGGCATGTGCTCTGACTGAGAATCAAACCAGCAACCTTTTGGTTTGCAGGCTGGCACTCAATCCATTGAGCCACACCAGCCAGGGTGGTCAGTCTTCTATTTTAACTGTTCCAGTGGTGGTGTGTAGTATTTTCTCATTGTGGTTTTAATTTGATTTGCATTTCCATAGTGATTAAACATGTTGAGCATCTTTTCATGAGTTTATTTTGAACTACCCCTTTAAAAATACTGCATAGGTAGTAGGGTTAATCCTAAATTTGGGGAAAGGGAGCAGTGTTACATGAGCAGGTGTCATAAAAGGATTTTTCATCAGTTAGTTATGAAATTCTTAACTAACTTATGATTCCCAAACCTGAGGAATAAAGTTACTATGATGAGTCAAGAGAACCAATATAAGAAATAGTTTTCAAAAGAGAGGCTTTGAGGAAATGGCAGAGTGGCTGTGGTCCCTAGAGGAGGTGAAGAGGAAGAAATAGGGGATGAAGAATTGCAAAAGAAATTTGAGCCCTGGCTGGTGTAGCTCAGTGGATTGAGCATGGGCCTGTGAACCAAAGGATTGCAGTTTGATTCCCAGTCAAAGCACATGCCTGGGTTGCAGGCTAGTTCCCAGCAGGGGACACACAAGAAGCAAACATACATTGATATTTCTCTTCCTCTCACCTTCCCTTCCCCTCTTAAGATAAATAAATAAAATATTTAATAATAAAAAAAAAGAAATTTGAAATGGCAGACCAGATAGTACACCCTGTCTGGTAAGCACTGGTCAGTGTGTATATGTGTTCTGGGGAAGTATGTTCAGGTGGGTGAGGCTGAGAGAAGACGGAGAACATAAGTCTCAATATATGTTTAGATTAGGGACAGGCCCTAGATAATAGAGTAGCCGAAGGGGGAGACTGAGACCAGAAAAATTGGGGAGATACTGAATATAAAAAATACCACTGTTACTTTAGAACATCCCGGGCTAGAATAACTTCTATTCTCAAGTCTTCTTCTACAAACTAGATTCCTTCAACTTTGGGCTTCTCCTCTCTTCCCAGCTCTTCCTTTTGGGTTTCATATGATAGAAGAAGGAAGTAGCTTTTGTGGTAGCAGCCAGCACCTCAGCTCTCCTCTTCTGCCCAGCTCCATAACCAAAATTTTTAATGGTTCTGTTTCCTTGACAATATATAGTATGGTGGTTAAGAGTTAAGGCTCTAGATTTAAACTGCTTGGGTTCAGTTTCTGGTTCTACCATTTATTAGCTATATGACTGTGGGCAAATTGTTTAATCTTCCTGTACCTCAGTTTCCTTATATAAAAATAGCAATGAGAATATTAACTCCCTTAGGTAGTTGTGAGGATTAAATGAATTAAAAATTTAAAAGTGTTTAGAACATTGCCTGACAGGTTTTAAACTTTCGATAAATGTTAGCTGTCAATTGAATTTAAACTCCTTGGCTCCACTTTCAAGGTGCTTCATAATCTGACTTCAGCCCATTCCCCTTCTATCCCATTACTTCTTGCCTAATTCATTTGAGTTTTGCTGTTTTCCTCATGGAAGCATGAATCTATACATAACTCCAGCTGGTTGTCATTGCCAGGAAGGTGGTCCTTAACAATTCAAATCTTCAAAGATCACTTGAAATCCCATCTTCTCTATTACCTCTTATTACTTATCATTACTTGAGTTCTCTCCAAACATCTTCCCATCAGAATTCACAGTACCATAGAATATAGTGAATAATTACACACTCATCACTCCTTCATGTGAATCAGTTTTGTTTCCCTAATAGCCTATAAACTTCCTGAGGGCAAAGTAATGTCTGATACCTCTGAGCCCCTTTCAGTGGAGTGACTCTGTTGTCTTACTCACTTTTAAGCATCTGTGAAGAGACTGAAGATAGGAAACCAAAGGAGTGATTAATTCATAGCTTTAATAGCAGTTTAGTTAGGGGTAAGGATGAGAGTTTCTTTACTATCTATGCCATTCTCTAAAGGCAGAGATTCATTTCACCTAAGATCTAGACAACTTCTACTTCATTTCTGAACCAAAAAAAAAAAGCAGTACACACCTTACTCACATATATATTCATCCAATAGACTCTTTTCCCTAATCATTTTTTCCTTTCCACCTTCTAAGTGAAAATGATTGGAAAATCATTGAGTATATGGGTAATGATCGTGTCTTTCTCTTTCAGTTCTGTCCTCTTAAAAGTTCCAATCCTTCAGTTTTCTATTGATCATCAGGACTACTATAACCTCTAAGCTTGTAGGGGTGATCTCAGGAGTAGATGGACTGAAACAACTCACTTATTATAAATGGGATTGAGGAAACTGGTGAGGAGTCCTTAAAGAGGTCTCAAATGCAGAAACCTAGTCCATAATCCTTATTCTATAATCACTTCACCTTTGAACTGCAGCTGTGTCTGATTCTGGATAAATGCCATTGTTTCATGTGTCTCCCAGTCCCCACTGCTTCCTTCAGCAGCTCTTCATGTTCTTCCCTGCCAATCTATATGCCCAAATCATTTTCAAAACAATCAAGGGCTTGCTGCTCTAGTTATTGAATGCAAAGCCACAGAAAAAAAAGCCCAGAGAGGAGTGGAGCTGGAAGGGTTGCTGAGGAAAGTGGAACCCCAGCATCTGAAGGGAAGAGATGCAGCTTTTCTAAGTCTGGCAAGAAGGCTCGAGCATCCTCCAGAGCAGCGTGAGCTGCCACAGTAAAGTTGGGGTCACCAGAGATTAAAACATCAAAGACACAGGAATGAAAATAAGCATCTTCAACTGGCAGCCCTTCCTTGCACAGCTGTCTGGCAGTGTCAATGGTTATAGCTCCCCGATGATTGCACTCTGAGTGAGAGAGTCGCTGACTTGGGGGGCACCCTCCAACACAGAGCTGTAAGTCCTGCTCAGCTGAGAAGGCTCTGGCCACATCCTCTGCTACCTTGATGGAGAAGGAGAGCTGCCCAGCTGTCTGCCGAATAATTATTGTTGTACCAATATAGGCAGCTTGTATCTCCACATGGCTCCCAGGTTCAGCAGTTCCAATGGACAAACTTGAGCCCCCAGGTCGGGTACCTCCATTGATAGAACCATCTTCAAAGGCTGCAGGAAGATTGTCCACCTCAGCCTGGTAGACCTTCTGATCAATGCATTCCTGCATATTTTTAAATATAATGGTGAGCTGTGAGGGCAAGAAGGAAAGCAGTTTATTTTGGGCTCAGGGCATCCTTCCCCCTTCTCCCTGTCAGACCTCTTACATAGTTAGGGATCTGATCCCAGCAGAGATGCAAGGTTTAGCATGGCCCTCACTCCTCAATCCCTTCTCATTATCTTTCAGTATTGCCTCCTCCCCACTCAACCCCTCTCTAGTTTTCGGCCTCAATCTCAGCTACTCCCATAGGCGAAAGAAAAATTTCCCTTCTGTAACTCCTCATCCTAGGGCTCCTCAGCTCTCTTTTTCCTAACTTTCTTTTCAGTGTTTTATGACATGGAGTGAAATTCTCACCAAGGGAAAGTGATTTACAGGAGCAAATATTTGATAAGGAGGGAGTGATTCCAGATAAGGGAGTGGTTAAAGAAAAAAGGGAATGGGGTTGAGAATTCCATTGCTGAGGAATAGTGGGAATGGGTTGGAAGTGTTACCATGAAGTGACCATGAAAATCTGGAGGAGCAATTGAGTTCTGACCTTCCGGGTGGTGGTGGCGTTGGCACCCGAAGCCACGGGGGAGCTGGTGGCCTGGACAAAAAGGAAGTCATTATCCAGCAGGGGCCAAGCTCCTTGGACACGGCACGTGTGAAAGTGGTGGTGGAAGCTGCGCACATGTGGGTCCCCGAAGGAGGCGCAGTGTAAGAAGCCCGGGGGATGACCGTGCAGCCGGGAAAACCGATCTTCATAGTCACAGGGGTCCGGGGCTGCAGGACTGGAGGAGTGGACGGGCCCCCCACTGGAAAGGGCTGGGCCCCGGGGTGGGCGAGAGGCCATGGGGCCCTGGCGGGAACAGTTGTGTTGAATCATCAGGTCCTCTATACCATGCACTGCAGAATGGAAGGCGAGATCCCCGCGGCAGGTGCGAGCTGTGCGCCGAGTGCATAGTGCATAAGAGCGGAGGGCTCGACAGAGACCTCTGGAGTCCACCCCTCCATCTCGGTCTCCTCGGAGTACTCCTGGTGAACCCCCACTTTTAAGGCTTAAGGTGGATGATACATACTCAGCATTGCAGCGTAGGATCTTGCACTGAGAATGAGCTGAGAACATAAGGGAGAGGCCTGTAAGATGATCCCGCTCAAGAGTATGCTCTCCCAAATCTTGTCAGGAGATTCCAGCCAGTCCTAAAATGACTGATTGCCTCCCCAAGTCCCCAGACCGCAGTTCCCTAGTCCTGTCCTCACTCAGTTTTGCTAAAAACATTTAAGCACGCTAGATCTCTTCTCCCTGTCCGTAGAGGTCTTCCCCAGTGCCCTTCCCCAAGTTGAATGGGAAATAAAATATACCTGTTTGAGAGAGGGGCAAATGACCCCTCAGCACCCATCTCTTCTCACTCACATATGCACATGCCCACCCCTAGATAGTAGCCTGCCCTTTAGATTCCCCAAACCCTTCCCCAGCCCTCCCTTACCATATCCACAGAGGAGCAGCAGAAGAGTGAGAGTGCTCAGAGTTGGGGGACTGCTATGGGGGAACCAGGGAGTAGGAGACTGGCTTGGATCCCCCATGCCTTATCCAGCCAGGTGCCCCCAGGCTCCAGTTCTTTCCAGCTGATGGCTGTCCTACCTAGTGAATTTTGACTGGCTGTCCTGTAAGAGACTGAAAAAAGAAATGTGGCTGGGTGTGGAGAAAGAGAAAAGTTAAAGATTGTCCAGGATGACGTGAAGAGAATCCGGAAAATCAAGAGAAGTATAAGCAGACTAGAGTTTGGGAAGAATGGGGCTCCTCAAACTATAAGTGTGGCTGTTAAACATCTGTGCCCTGCTCTTGTGGCCACTTTTTGGTCCTTTATGCAATACCTGTAGGTGGGGGGTGGAAGGAACACTGAGTGGACTTGGTGGGCAGAGTCCACTGTGTTGTCCCATTCTGAGCAACCAAACAGCAGAAATGTCCAAAAAGGATGAATTATGGGGATAGATCAGATCCCAGTCATTCCAGTAGGCTCCCTAATAGAATTAGGATCTGAAAGATACTTCAGAAACATACCTTTTATTTGCCTTTCCCCATCAGCAGGGAACATCCTCCAGGGGTCTTTTTTTTTTTTTGCTTTGTGTCAGGATTTTCAGTAAGAAGAAGTAATGGTAGAATACCTAGCCCCTTAGTATTCAAATGAAAAAAGAATCAATTTCTTTCTTCTATCCTAGGGAGCTGTAATTATAATCCTTCTCTCTCATCAAATAATGGAGTGCAACCTAAGCATGCAAATCAATATTTGCTTGTTATGAGTCAACAGTTCTTGAATATTTCCAAACCTGACTGCAGAATCACTTTTTTGTTTAATCTTCCCTTTGTAAATTCAGAAGTTCTCCATCTTTTGGTGAGGAGAGAGCTTGGGGAGGGACTTGCCTCTCTTGGGGTAAGGATATAATTCAGGGAAGAGTCATGCAGAAGGGAGAATAGATGACTTGTGGGGAGAAATCATTTATGATGACGAGTGGCCACCATCCTTGGAAGCCCAATGTGAGGGGCACTGCTAATCAGGGACTAATCATGTGAAACTAAACAGATTAGGGGATGCAGGAAACTCCTCCTAAAGAAGGAGGCTTTCTCAGAAATCTTCAGCAAACAAGGTGAGGAGGGGAACTGTCAGAGGAGAGCCTGGGAATTAAACTTCAGATGGCCATGGGCGTGAGGCCGGAAAGAAATCAGACAGGAGAAATGGAGATTGGGGCACTTTAGCATGGGAGAGATCTTAGCTTTTGGACCAGAGATATCCAAGTTAGACCAAAGCCTAACTTCAATCCAAAGGCTTATTAAAGGAATTGCAATTTCATTTTGACTTACTGTTTCCAGAGGTCAAACATTACTCAGATATCCCGTTCTCCAGCCATGACTGCCTACTCTGTTGGTCAGCTCCGGCCAGGGAATCCCCCGTCTCTTTCTCCATTTCTCCCCCAGGTACCCAGACCCGCAGCAATCTCAGTGAGCTCAGCAAGCCAGAGAAGGTCTGGTGTGGGGGGAAGGGAGAGTATATGGCTGGCTAGAGCACTGGACAGCTGAGCGGGGGAGGGAGGTGGCTACTGAGTTGACTGTTTTAAAAATAGCTAAGTCCAAAATTCCAGGAGCTTTGGTGGGGGCAGGGTGTGGGAGTGGGGAGGGTAGGAGGATTAGAAGTAATGTGGAGTACAGGGTGCCAAATAGGAGGGGGGAGGCAGAAATATGATAGGCAAATTAGATATCCAATTCCAGTTTATATGACTCTAGTCACTGCCTACTCCAAGCAGACCTCCAGCATGCTCAATAATGAACTTCCAGCCTTTAAAAATTAGGGTGGGCAATTGTATACCCCTTGTTCACCACCCTCATCTCTGCTATACTGAATATTACATTTAGTTTCTACAGAACATATCTAGGGAGTAGCTGACTTTAAATAAGGTCCATAGCAGAGGTAGTTCACAGCCCTTCCCCCATCTTTACAGAGTATTTCAGAAGGTCTGAAAAAAGCCAGCTGTTCAGAGAAGAAATCTGAGCTCCAAGTTGTTTAGGATGAAGGTTTGCTTCAGTCTACCAGCTCAGATCCTTGCAGCTGTCTATCCCCCTACCACCTCCATTTTCTTTTTTAAATATATTTTATTGGCTATGCTATTATAGTTCTCCCATTTCCCTCCTTTATTCACCTCCACCCTGCACACTCCCTCTCACCTGCATTCCCCTCCTTTAGTTCATGTCCATTGGTCATACATACAAGTTCTTTGGCTTCTACATTTCCTATACTATTCTTAACCTCCCTCTGTCTATTTTCTACCTACCATTTATGCTATTTATTCTGTGTACCTTTCCCCCCTCTCTTCTGCTTCCACTCCCTTACTGATAACCCTCCATGTGATCTCCATTTCTGTGATTTTGTTCCTGTTTTAGTTGTTTGCTTAGTTTGTCTTTGTGTTTTTTTAGGTTCAGTTGTTAATAGTTGTGAATTTATTGTCATTTTACTGTTCAGAGTTTTTATCTTCTTCTTTTTCTTAGATAAGTCTCTTTAACATTTCATATAATAAGGGCTTGGTGATGATGAACTCCTTGAACTTGACCTTATCTGGGAAGGACTTTATCTGCCCTTCTATTATAAATGGTAGCTTTGCCAGATAGAGTAATCTTGGATGTAGGTCCTTGCCTTTCATGACTTGGAATACTTCTTTCCAGCCCCTTCTTGCCTGTAAGGTCTCTTTTGAGAAATCAGCTGACAGTCTGATGGGAACACCTGTGTAGGTAACTGTCTCCTTTTCTCTTGCTGCTTTTAAGATTGTCTCCTCTTTAATCTTGGTAAATGTAATTATGGTGTGTCTTGCTGTGTGCTTCCTTGGGTCCAACTTCTTTGGAACTCTCTGAGCTTCCTGGACTTTCTGAAAGTCTGTTTCCTTTGCCAGATTGGGGAAGTTTTTCTTCATTATTTGTTCAAATGACTTTTCAATTTCTTGGTTTTCCTCTTCTCTTTCTGGCGCCCCTATGATTCAGATGTTGGAATGTTTAAAGATGTCCTGGAAGTCCCTAAGCCTCTCTTCATTTTTTTTTTTTTTGAAAATTCTACTTTCTTCATTCTGTTCTGGTTGAATGTTTATTTCTTCCTTCTCCTCCAAACTGTTGATTTGAGTCCTGGTTTCCTTCCTGTCACTGTTGGTTTCCTGTAGATGTTTCTTTATTTCACATAATGCAACCTTCATTGCTGCCTGGGTCTTTTTTATGCTGTTGAATTACCCAGTGAATTCCTGGCACATCCTGATAACCAGTGTTTTGAACTGTGCATCTGATAGTTTGGCTATTTCTTTGTTGCTTTGTTGTATTTGTTCTGGAGCTTTGATCTGTTCTTTCACTTGGGCCATTTTTTTTTTTTGTCTCAGCGCTCCTGTTATGTAGTTGGGGTGGTGCTTAGGTGTTCACCATGGTGGGGTAACCCACATTGCTGTGTTGTGATGCTGCATGTTGGGGAGGGGGTGGAGAGGAAACAATGCCACTTGCTCTGATCTCTGCTGGTTTTCAGTCACTTCCTCCGCTACCCACAATCAAATTGTGGCCTTCTGGGGCTAATACCCGGTGGGTGAGCTTGTGTACATACTAGGATCCTGTGGGTCTCTCCAACAAACTCTCTCGTGAGGCTGGGAGTTTCTCCCACTGCCATCTCAACCCCCACAGCTGTTTTCAGTCAGAGGTTTTGAGGCTTTATTTTCCCACTCTCAAACTCTGGATTGTGCGGTCTGTCTTGTTCCCTAGTTGCTCTTCCAGGTTCATCTGCACATGAATGTGGGACCACACAGTCTGTAAGCCACTTCCTCGCCCGGTCCTCCAGCTGCTGCTATGTCATGAGTCCTCTCTGCCTGGCTGCCTGTATCTGCCTCTCCTACTGGTCTGGATGAATGTTTCTTCTTTAACTTCTTGGTTGTCAGACTTCCATACAGTTCGATTTTCTGCCAGTTCTGGTTATTTTTTGTTTTTAATTTGGTTGTTCTTGTTTGGTTGCGCAAGGAGGCACAGTGTGTCTATATATGCCTATATCTTGGCTGGAAGTTGAGAAGGCCACCTCCATTTTCATTTCCTTAGTTACACAATTTCTCTTCCCTCCCTCTCACAAGTACACACACTCTCTCTCTCTCTCTCTCTCTGAAGCTCCTGAATTGCTTGGGGAGGAGGCTAACCAAGACAAAAAAAATGAAGAAAAAAATGGGGCAATATAAATTTTTGATAGTTACTAATTCACAGGGGAGAGTCACTGGAGAGATAAGAGAAAAGGAGACTCAGAAAGATACTTTTGTGGAGTGACATAATCTTATGACCTTTTAAAATACTGCAACCAAGGAATTTAGCCATGTAATATTTTTGCAGCCATAGGCATCTGGGACCATACATCTTTTAGTACTTGCCAGTGAATTTAACACAAGGGCTGATTCCAAACTGTGTTATTTATTTATTTATTATTTAATTTTATTTATTTTTTATTGATTATGCCATTACAGTTGTTCTATTCCCCCCTTCATTCCCCTCCACCCTACTCCCCATACCCAACATTACCCCCCTTTAGTTTATGACCACGTGTCTCAAGTTCTTTAGATTCTATATTTCCCATACTATTCTTGCCTCCCCCCATCTATTTTCTACCTACCATCTATGCTACTTATTCTCTATACCTTCTCCTCCTCCCACTCCCCTGTTGCTAACCCTCCATGTGATCTTCATTTCTATGGTTTTACTCCTGATCTAGCTGTCCTCTTAGATTGCTTTCGTTTTAGGTGTGGTTGTTAATAACTGTGAGTTTGCTGTCCTTTCACTGTTCATGTTTCTTTGTCTTCTTTTTCTTAGATAAGTCCCTTTAACATTTCATATAATAAGGACTTGGTGATGATGAACTCTTTGAGCTTGACCTTATCTGAGAAGCACTTTATCAGCCCTTCCATTCTAAATGAAAGTTTTTCTGGATAGAGCAATCTTGGTTGTAGGTCTGTGGATTTCATGACTTGGAATACCTCTTTCCAGCCCCTTCTTGCCTGTAAGGTCTCTTTTGAGAAATCAGCTGACAGTCTGATGGGAACTCTTTTGTAGGTGACTGTCCCCTTAGCTCTTGCTGCTTCTAGGACTTTTTCCTTCATTTGAATCTTGGCTAATGTAATTATGATGTGCCTTGGTGTGTTCCTTCTTGGGTCCAACTTCTTGGGGACTCTCTGAGCTTCCTGGATTTCCTGGAAGTCTATTTCCTTTGCCAGATTGGGAAAGTTCTCCTTTATTATTTGTTCACATAAGTTTTCCACTTGTTGCTCTTCCTCTTCCCCTTCTGGTACCCTTATAATTTGGTTATTGGAACGTTTAAAGATGTCCTGAAAGTTTCTAAGCCTGTCCTCATTTTTTTTGAATTCTTGCTTCTTTATCCTTTTCTGTTTGGTCATTTTTTTTCTTCCTTCTGGTCCACTCCCTTGATTTGAGTCCCCGTTTCCTTTCCATCACTATTGGTTTCCTGTGCATTTCCCTTCATTTCAATTAGTTTAGCCTTCATTTGTTCTTCTAATTTGTGACTAAAATCAACCAGTTCTATGAGCATCTTGATCACCAGTGTTTTGAACTGTGCATCTGAAAGTTTGGCTATTTCTTGGTCGCTTAGAGTTATTGGCTCTGGGGCTTTGAGGTGTTCTTCTTAAGCCATAATGTTTTGGTCTGTTCTTGCCTGTTATGTATGAGGGGCAGAGCCCTAGGTGTTCACCAGGGTGGGGCAACTCAGTTGCTTGGTTGTGATGCTGTATATGGGGGTGGGGTCAAAGAGGGGCAATGGCTGTCCCCTGTGCTTCTTCTGGCTGCTGGGGCCTGCTTGGTCTGTCTCACTACGCGCTCCTTTGCCTGGTTTATGTGTGTGCGAATGTGTGACCATGGTCAGTCTGCCACCTTGCACCCTCACTGGGTCTGCCTGTTGCAACCCCAGGCCTGGGATCCATCAACCACCGCCTGTGCCTGGGTCAGTCCAGCAGAGTTTCCTGCTCAACCCACTCCACCAGCCGCTGGCTCCTCTCCTCTTACTGGTCTGGCTGAATGGTTCATTGTTTTCAGACTTTCGTATAGTTCAATGTTCTGTGTTTTGGTTGTGTTTTTGTCACTAAAACTTTGTTGTCTTTAAACTTGGTTGTGTCAGGAGGCACAATGTTTCCACCTACTCCTCCATCCTGGCTGGAAGTTGCTTTCACAGATTTAAATTGTAACAAAGTAATCAGGAGCTAATAGAGCAATTTCTACTGGCCAAACATGGGTAATATGAGTACCAAAATGGGCACTATCTGCCATGTGTTTAAATATATTTTTTATGCTTATATATGTTTAAATCTCAGTTTACAATGATACTTTATTGTGGTAAAATACACATAACATAAAATTTACTGTCTTACATTTTCATTGTATAGTTCAGTAGTTTTAAGTATATTCATATTGTTGCATGACCAGTCTTCAGAGCTCTTTTAATCTTGCAAAACTGAGCTGTATATACATTAAATATAAATTAAAC